AGATGCTGGGATTACAGGCTTGCACAGGTCCTTAACTGTATATGCCTATGAGGAGAGATCATGCAGCACCTGAGGCGTTCTAAGGAATTAGCTCATCAGCTATTCCTCCAACCTGATGCCAGACACATAACTTATAAAAGAAATAACTTGTAAGAAAAATAATGCGGCAACATCATCAGTCATTGTTCATCATCTTCCTTGCTAGCAAAATGCAGAGTGTCTGGATTTCAGAAGCTGATTCATAGTCAGTCCACAAGCTAGGCACATCAGTCTTCTTCCCTTTTGCTAGTCTGGAAAGGGCCTGTGAGTCAGTTTTGACAAAAAAGATGTGAATGGGAGTTTGCCAGGAAGGACTTTCCTCCTTGATTTAAGGGAGAGAGGCCTGGAAGGAGATTCTTTTTCACTCCACTCCCTTCTTCCTTTGTATTTGAGACACTGTCATGTGAGGGCATGACTCTTGGAGCACCAAAAAAGAAGTTTCACCAACATGTATACATGAACAGACTGAAAGGGAAAATGTCCAATCTTTAACATCTTCAAGCCACTGTGCCAATCCTGGAAAGGTATAAGTCCAGGTAAGTGAAATATAGATGTCTTTGTGATCTAAGGCATTGTTAATCCAGTTCTTTGTTACTTGTAATCAAATGCATTCCTGAGATAAACAATAAATAGTCAGTATCTTACATCAGCATGGCACTTCACATTCTTCAGAATACTTTACATCCATTAACACATTTAAACCTGCCAACAATCTGGGGAGATATACTGCAACTACTATTATCCCTCATTGATCTTGTATAAAATATTATAAGAACTAGAACTGATTCAAGACTCTTTGCTTTAGTCTAGGAGATGGCAAACTGTGGCCCATAAGCCAAATGTGTGGCCAGGAAATGAAGAATATATTCTTGCATTTTGAATACTTGAGAAATATTGGAAGAACAATATTGCAAGACACCTGAAGATTATGATTATTTTTTAGTAATTTAAAACATACTGTTACATACTTTAGAAGATATGTATCAAGTTCAAGATCTTCTGGGGCTGAGGATGTAGCTCAGTGATAGAGTACTTTGAGGCACTAGGTTTGATCCCCAATAAGGTAAGGAGTGGGAGGCTGCTACTTAGTAGCCAAAAATAGCAATTATAAACCTATAAATAAAGTTTGACCAGTTTTTGTAGGTTACTTTGGGTTAGATCCAGAATTAACCTTAAGCTTAGGACATTAAATAAAACTAAACAAACCTGTGTATCTTGCAGCAAATGGTACTTGTGTGTTAATAAAGGCTGCTTGACTAAAAGGTTTAAAAAAAAAAAAAAAAAAAGACGCGTGAAGATGAAGTGAAATTCACCTTTTAGTGTCCTTACCAAAGATTTGTTGGAATACAGCTGTGCTCTTTCATTTACGTATTGCCTATGTCTGCTTTGGTCTGCAACTGCAGAATGGAGTAGTTGTAGTTGTGACCACTGTATTGCCCAAAAGCATAAGATATCAGCTATCTGGACCTTTACACAAAGGCTTACAGATCCCTGATTTAGCCCTCACTTAAAAAAACTCACGCTCCAGTAAAATCCATGTAGAGCAGTTAGGCCATCATCTTCTAAACCCTAGCATGGTGAGCTGAGATTTGGTTTGCTCACTGTCATTTTTTTCATCCTCTACGACCTACTCACAGGATCATAATCCCCACACTACCCAGAGAGGAGCAGGGAAATTTCTTGACTGTTAATTAACCAGTCTGACTAGAATTCTTCCCCCAGTAAATGCCAGGACACATCTGTTTGAGACAACGTTTTTGATGAAACAGTCCCTCAGTCAAAAAGAAAAATCTGCCATCCCATTGGGCCATGCTGCAGCAGTTTTTTTTCTTCTCTGAGACTTGCCACTATATGAATGAAAATGAACTGTGCTAAATCTGCTATGAAACCTCCCAAAGAACTTCCAGGGAGATTACAGACTACCATATTATGCAAACCAAGATTATGCAGACAAACAAAGCAGATAAAACAAATAAATCACTTTCTTTCTTAGTTGTGTACTTGTTTTGACTTGTAACATAATATTTAATGAACAGTGGATTTTACTGAATGAGAAAATATATGTATAAACATTTAGTAAAGTACCTACTACATTTTTGTGCTTGTTAAAAATTAGGTGAAAGCTAGGCATGGGGCTCAGGGGTAGAAAGCTTGCCTCGCAGGAATGAGGCCCTGGATTTGATCCCCAGCACCAAGAAAACAAACAAACAAATTAGTTGAAACTGAAAGTCCAGAAACCATGAGGAAGAGTATTTTCGAACCACATAATTGTTAAAATAGAAAAATAAAAAAGTATGTATCTATAGCACATAAAGGCTAGGAGTTGGCAATCTACTAAAATTCAACTGAAAATAATTTTTTTTCACATTTTTATGGCTCTAGTTTAAACCACTTCATAGAACCCCAAAAATATGCCTTGAAAGTTACAATGCCAGCTTTATTCCCGAGCAAGCCAACATGGTTTTGCCACAGTTTATAAATCTTTGCATTGTTATAAAACAGAAACAACATGCTGGTCTCTAAAGTTTCCTTTAAGAGACTTAAATTAAAATTATACTCACCCCACTATCATCATCAAAGGGGGAGCATGAATTCTCCAAGATAAAAGGTTCTTTTCAGGATTTCAGAATTCCTGGCTCCCTGTCACCTGGAGAACTCAATGTTCTGAGTTTATCTGCTCCCTCTGCGGCCTGGTTCCATGGTAATTACCAGGCTCCTAGAGCTAGTATGACATCTCATGTGATAGAAGTACACAGCAAAGAAATAAACACAAACAGCTGCATTAATTCCAGCAGCTTTCAAACCCTGCACAAGCTGGGGAAAGTTGCTGAATCAAAAGGGAACCAAATCAGGGGGAGAAGCTCTCAAAATATCCAGGCAAAGACTCTAAGGCTGTATCCAACAGGCCCAGGCACCCGCAAGAAAAGGAACTGTAAAACGTGCAGATTTTTTTTTTTAAATAATGGTTGAAAATGTTCTTTCTTTCCTAGACAAAAGCTTATTTTAATGACTGCACATTCTCTGGGGGAAAAAAATGATGGGAAACTGGTAATTGTGTTACCAAGGAAGTGAAGGTTTAAAGATGTCATGAGAGAAAGAATCGTTTATTACTGAAAACACCTGTGCACTTTTTGAAAGATGACATGTGCATGTATGTGTTGGCCAAAGAATTGCATTAATTGTGTTTTTAAAATTACATATTACACATCAAACACAAGCTTAGACCAAAGTCAGTAAAAACACACAATTGCTAGAAACTATGATCTATGTGACAGATACTAAGGAGGCAAAACTGGAAGATGTGGCTTCTGCCCTTACAGAACATTTTTGTCTAATAGAGCCATGACTATGCAGAAGATCATTTGCAAACAATGAGTACAAGATACAGTAGAACAAAGGAAGGGTGCCCCCCAAATTACTTGGATATATAAAGCCAAATGTGTGTTACAGCTTTCTAGTGGTCACCTGGAAACATCATTCCCTTGTTACATCAACGTTATGATGGTTCAGCATTGGGAGTTTCTCTTTTGAATCCGTGTACAAGCTGTATCAGTTATCTGTTATCATAGCAGAGCTGCATAACAACCACAAAGTTCCAGTGGCATAGGACAAGTATTTATTATTCATCTATCCAGAATGGCCAGCCAAGCAGCTCTGCTGACCTTTATTAGGTTCACTTACATGTCTGGGGCAGTGGGGAGGGTCAGTAGCTTCTTGGTTTATCTAACTGACCTTGGCTGTGAAAATTGGAGCAAAACCACTCAGTTCCACGTGTGTCTCAACCTCCAGCAGGCTAGCCCAGGCATGTTCTCATGGCAATGGCTGAGGTTTGACAGCAAGTGGAAGCATGTTGACCTCAGAGGTCTTAAACTGGTGTAGCCTCACTACCACTGCATTGTACTGACCAAAACAAGGGACAATGCCAGATCAGATTCATGGGACAGGGAAATAGACACCATCATCTTAGTAAAAACTGCAGTCACAGGCAAAGAGATGCAAAGGATACAAGGATGAAGAATCAGGCCATCATTGCAATTCACCACCAACCGTTACCAGAAGAGCAGGCTCTAACTTACATCCTTTTGGTTTAACTCTTCTCTCTCACTAGAATCGTTTTCAGATAGTTTGGTTTGTGCCAAAAATTAAACTTTTCCTGAAAAGCCAGATAATTGCCACTCCTGGATGTACGGATGCTACCACGTCTCTTTTAAGGAGCTTTAAGCAACTGCTCATACAGGGACTCAGGAAGGGAAGTGCCCGACACTTGTTGGATAAATAAAAAGTGTGTTTGCATGTTATAGTACAATGAGCAATAACTAACTATGAAGAGATGCAGATAGTCTCCTCAAATGACCATTTTGACATGGATGCCACATTCTAACAAAATATCCTGAGTTTGTATTTTTTTAAAAATTATCTCTTATATGTAGGACACATTCCTACTATTCAACATTGTCGAGCAGATACTTATATTTATCCTGCTTTTACTTTAGTTTTTTGACTCCAATTTCTAAAATGCACTTCCCAGTCGTTTATCCATTATTTTTCAAATTGTGAAGTCATTCCACAAATATGTTATGTCCTAACTTCATACAGGGTATATTATGGACTGACTTTTCATGGGCTACAGAATGACTCTGGAAAGGGTAACAATGACCTACCTCACAGAATTGTTCTGAGGAGTTACATGATAGATTCCTTGAAAAATAGTCTGCAAATGTGCTTTGTGTAATATTAATTCTTTACATTTCTAGAGTTGACTTTTTCTCAAAGGACTTCAAGCACTTCACATATGGTCAGCCAGATCCTCCCAGTGTAAATTATGCCCCAGGAGTAAGTTAATTGCTTGGTGGGAGGCATTAACTCTTTCAGGTCACTAGGGTTCCTCTTAGAGCACTGTACGAGGGCAGTGATTTGCCAAATAGTACCCCAGCGGCAGCAAAGAATATGTGCAATATAAATTATTCCCAGGGAGTAATTCTGAAACTCAGAAAATCTGGTTTATTATCTCATCTATTCACATAGTATCCCAATGAGGGAGGACAAAAGGAGCAAGAAGTGGGGGGGGGGGGGAGTGGAAAAATAGGTGAGCTAGGGATGCCAGAAATTTCCCAAGCTTCCACAGCTTGTTCAAGGTCAGGGTTCCAATTCAAATTGCTTGATCGTCCAGCATGACTTCTTTCCAATTAGTGCTTCAGGGTTGCTCTCAAGTTGATGTTCCTGCCAATAAGGGCCAGGACTAGGGTGAGGTGAGGTGCCTAGGATTCAAAATTAAGGACTCTAGTCATGGCCCTTGCTAACAAGGGATGGATTAGCTTGAAGCACTCGAGGGTCCACAAAATCCACACTGACTTTTACCACTTGCTTCTATTAAACCCATTAATATTGATGAGGATTCACTAATTGTTTAGTTTTCCCAAGCTGAGGAAAGTGAACAAGGTAACACAGAATAGAAAATAGATCAAATAGATCCTATTTGATCAAATAGTTCATCTATTTCAGTAAGGGGAAAACAGTCCTGATTGAAGTCTGCTTATTATGCAATTAGTACATGCCAAAGAGGTGCCTTGGACATCTGGACTTGAAGGTTCAAATACTGACTCCTTGTCCCAGAATCAATTATCCCCAATGGAAGTATTCTCTCTACTACCACTTGTGAATTCCAATTCTTGAAGAAGCCTCCCACCCCCAACATTTTGCAGCACGCACTAGATGCTCTTCAAAAGAATCAGGACATAGGCATCTTGATTCCCCATGCAAATCCTCTCTCTTTCCTCTTCCACCTTCTCCTCTTGTGTTCTCCTCTTCTTATTCCTCCTCCTCTTTCTTCTCCCCAATGCTTTCGTGATTGTTGTCTAAAAGCCAATCAGAAAATATAATGGCCCTTTAAACAGATTTTTAAAAAAATATATTTAGCACTCTGCTCTACTTGGAGGTTTGCTAGGCTCCAAAAGGGAACAATCAACTTCTTTTCAAACCTGCTCTCCATTTGGCCTGACAGCCACCTCTGCTACCAATAAAGCTTCCAGTTTATTTTTTTCTGAATTTGGATTCACTTATTGTCTCAATAAATTATACTCAATCACAATTTCAAAGAAAGATGACCCAACACCCTCCCACAGACTCCCCCCCCCACACACACACACACATCAGTGAAGTAGTTTTATCCCACATTTACTTGGATGGTAGGGGTGTATCATTTACAAAGTGACCTTGGAAAGGTCACATGACCACGCTGCCTCTGTTGGCTTTCCTGGTAAAATGAGGAGACTGGACTAGAAGTCTCAGGTCCCTTCCAGCTCTGGAATTTCATAACTCTATGAGACCATTTGCATAGTTATAAAATCTGCAGTAAATAATATTTTCACCTGATTGAAGTTTTATTTTTGGAAAAGAGGTGCCTCATAAAGCAATCTCAAGAAATAAAAACAAAATTAGTGGATAATTAGACAATCTGATCGTTATCAAAGAAACTGCTAGAAATCATTGATAACTACCATGCCAATGTCAGACATGATTAATTCTGAAAAACAATTTGCTCCAAAGAATTGGTCTCTTCTCTCTACAGCGCAAAAAGGCCATTAAAGTGCCTTTTCACCCTTTCCTCCCGTTTCCCCACCCCTTGCTTTTCTCCTTTTTAAATGGTCTGAAGGTAAATTTATCTTTTCTTCATGAGCAATAGTATCAGTTGTGAAAATGGCTGTTAAACAGCGAGCAAGCATGGAAAAATCCCTGCCCAATAAAGCAGAGACTTTGAAAAGGAAATTGCCCTGCTTAAGTGATGGATTCTGTTTCAGCCGTCATGACCCAAGATTATGAGGGAGTCCGGGGACATGGGTCCTGCCCTTATAGGCAAAGCAGCTGCAAAGCCCCACTGGGAGCTTGTGAGAACTTTGTGAATGGCCCACCCCAACACCTCCAGAGGCTGCAGTCCCTCCAGGCCAGGGAGGTTGAGCAAGAACATGTGAGCACTTAGCATGAGTCTCCCCCGCTAAACCCCTTTCATCCAACCTGGAGCACCAACTCTCCACCCTTATCTCTGCATACCTACCCCAACCAAGGCCTACCTTGGATTCCACAGCTGCATGATACTTTGAGACTATGGAATCATTTTTTGCCATTTTATTTTTTGCCACTTTATGTTCATGTTTTCTCTGCCCAGGACTGTAAGATCCTGGAGCACAGGGCACCAACTATTTAGACATCTTTCTGTTAGAGATTCGTGAGAAATCCCAATAAAGATAATGACACAGGTGAAACAGAAAATGAGCAGGGCTTTGAAACTCTTTCCTCCTGGAAGAGATGGGATGTGTATCACTTGCTCTTTCCCAACTTCAGGCAGGGTTTTCTAAAGGAAAAGCTGAGATCTGGAGATGAGGTCAGAATTCTTAGATGCTGCTATCCTTGCTTTGTCAAAGGATACTCTGCTACTGAGCCAAAGCAGTGCTGTTGATTGTTCCCTTCAGGACTTGGCCAAGGAGCAACTGCAAATCACACTCATCTTTGTGTCCTTGAGAAGATGGAGCCTCTGAGCTGTGAGAGCCTCCACTTTCAACTTGTGGGATGTGGCAACTGTGACAGCAAGCCATCACCTTGTTCCCAAGACACCAAGTACTTGCTTCTTGTTTACCCATGATTGAGGTAGTGACTTCAAAAAGAACTTGTTCAGCATTCATCTGAACATTGTAATCCTAAAACTAAAAGTTCTTTCAAAACTAGAAATGTTTGCTTTAATTCTAAATTAAATTTTATGGTTTCCTTTAATTAGTGTTAAAGATAATTAGTATTTCAAAATGAATTTATGTTTTCAAAAAGTCTTAGACTATCAAAATATAGTGAGTTTCTTAGTTATGCTTTCAAAAGGAATCATAAAATAATGACACCCTTTGGGGAAAAAATAGAGCTAACAAATAAGGTTAGGGAGCATTTAAAACTGTCAACTCAGGGCTGGGGGTATGGCTCAGCAGTAGAGTGCTCACCTAGCACGTGCGAGGCTCTGGGTTCGATCCTCAGGACCACATAAAAATAAATTAAAGATATTGTGTCCAACTACAACTAAAAAATAAAAATTAAAAACAAACAAACAAAAAAACCTGTCAACTCCTGGACTCCACCCCTCAAGAGATGCTGATTTAATTGTCTTGGGTAGAGTCAAGGTCTGGATATTTTTGGTCATCTTGCCAGAGTTTCAGGGCCCATTGAACATCAGACTACAGTATCTGGGCACCTCATGTACACTTCCATGAAGAGTATATATCACTTTATACTGTACCAAGGATACTTGTGTATATGTCTCCCTTTCCTTATAAATGGTACGCTTATACAGGGCTGGGAGTCATATCTTACTCATCTGAGTCTTAAAGTGAACATGGGCTGTTAAAAGTGCCTTCCATTAACACAGCCTATTCTGAGGACAGTCACTGTAAAGAAGTGGGAAGGAAGTTTCCCAAGAAATAGGGGCCAGGTTCTGTACACTGTGATACCAACAACCTGAACATAGATGATTGGTCCAGGAATAGGCACCTGACCTAAGGTCAGCCACCTACAAGGAGACCCGATACAAAATCTCAGTCCAGCTCAAGCACTTGGTGAGTGCCCAGTGGGGCCAATTAGATCCTTTCACTAAGGAGTTTAGATGTGAGATGAACAGAGAGCTGAGCAGTTGGTCGCAGGAGCAGAAGCCAAAGGAAGCCCAGAGAAAAACAGGGAGAGAGAGGAGCTGAATTACCTTGGTGGTTAAGCCTGTTAGTAGGGCCAGCAGATGCCTGCCACTGAGGGGGCAGCGAGATAACCCAGTCCCAGAGCCGTATCCTGAATGACCTTCCAGTTCCTGAACTTCAATCCAGTTTTCGTGAGGCCTGGCCCAGTGGCCTTTCCGGAAGGCTTTTCAGAGACACGTGGCTGAGTGGTGGAGATTCCGGTCAGCCTTCCTTCCACAGTAAACTCCCATCACTCAAGGTTAAGTCAGTGTATCTTCTCCTTGCAACCCCCTAAAATCCAATCACCACAATTCTCAGGGTCTAGCACTTCGGCCAGCACACAGCTAGTACTAAATAATTGCAGGTGTCTGGACAGCTTGACCATTCCAGTGAAAAGCCTACTTAAAATGAAGAAATCATTCATGATAAAAACACTGTCTTCAAATTCCAAAAACAATGCTAAATTGGAATGAGCATGTCAAGCTTGTTCTGTTCTCTCATTTCCAAACCCATTTACACTGCTACCATAGATCTATCAAAGAAGGAAAAGTCGAATTCCACAGAACAGCGCAAAGAGCATCCTGATTTCAAGTAAGGTATGTTTGGATGACTTGACTTACACTCCACTTAATCTTTTATCACAGTATTGTTGGTGAGAACAATTTCCCGCCCACACTAGCTTCACTGACAAACCTCCAAAGTAGCTGATCTTTGACTTTTAAGAAGTTTAATGTGATCCCCCCACACACACACACACTCTGCCACACACATTCCCCTTGTCTATTGTCTGCATGAGCTACTTGAAGAACACATACTCCCCAACAACGGGGGGGGGGGTGAGTCATAAAATAAAAGTTACCTGGATGTAAACTGAGCCTGTTTACACTTTTCAGGTTCCTAACTAATAAAATAAAAGAAGTCCAACTGAATTCAGGTCCAGTCACTTCCGGAAAACAGGTTTCTGCTTAGCAAAGACATCCTTTAGTTAGTACATTATTTTGAAGGTGGAGCTAATTTCATGCTCCATGTGAATGGAACGTATTTATGGTTATAGCCATGTACAGGGTGTGTAAGGACTTGCCCTCCTCCTGTCCTCTACAAAGGAAGGCTCCTGGCTGCTTCTGGTGGTGAGCTAACCAACAAAAGGAATGCCGAAAAGGTCTCACCTCTCCCACTCAGAGCTCTGAAATGGGGGCTGGGTCTCTGCTCGCTGGAAACTAAGCACCCAACGGGATACAGGCTTAGGTTTTCCATCTCATTTTCGAAAATCTGGATAAACGCAGGTTTTGCCCAACCTCCCCTGACCTCTTCTTGATAAAATGATCTTATGCCTCTGGAATTGGGATTTTGAATGTATGTGCCTACCCCATGTCTGGTATTATATTACAACAGCATGAAAATGGAACCTAGGACTGAGGAGCCGGCCAGCCTCAGAAGCCTTCTTCATTGCCTGCCATGTAATACATGATATGCAAAGCCTCTGACTTCAGCCAGCAGATATTTGGAGACCGTGTTGGCCCTAGCATGGGGACTAAACTAATGTGTGTTTAGGTCAGAAAGCGAATCAGAAAAGCCAGTGGAGGGCACGTCACGAAGTGCGAGTCCTATAAATGCATCCCCACTCGCAGCGTCCCCTGGCAAACACTCGGCTTCCCTCCCTGGGCCGCTCCACATCTCTCCTTCTTGGTGCTAGGAGAACTCCGGCAGACAGCTCCTTGTCTCGCCGCTGCCTTCTACCTGCAGAAAAGACAGAAGGCGAGACAGCCAAGGAGGAAGGAACGCCTTCGACAGGCGCGAGGAAAGCCTAGTGTAGCCTCCACCAGGCAGAGCGCCCTTCCTCCCAGAGCGGGGCACCGAGGCGAAGCCCGGCGCGGGTGCGGCGGCCAAGTTCGGATTGCCCCTTTCTGTTGCTCCAAGCCGAGCTCCGCACATTCCTCTGGATCTACCCGGCAAGGAGAAGGCGCGAGCCCGGCGGCGTCTCCACGCGCCCAGCGCTCTCCCTGCACCCCGGGGAGGGGCGCCTCGCGTCACCCACTCGCACCCAGCGCCTGGCCTTCCGAGCTCCAGCGCCTCCTCTCTGTTCTCCTCTCCCTCCCCCACCGCCGGGCCCGCCACAGCCTCCCGACCCCTCCCCTCTTCGGGCCCCGAGCCTCCCCTCCCCCACACCGGCCCCCAGGCCCGGGCTCCCGACGACCAGCCTGCGCTCCTGGCGCCCTCATGTCTTCAAGGGACTGCCCGCGCGGGTTGACGTGGTGTCTCATTCGGATCTCCAGGCAAGACCTCAGCTCCCGCGGCAGCATCAGACAGGCCCGCCTCACACTCCCAGCCACTGCGCCCCGAGGAGGCGCAGAGTGCGGTGGCTGCCGCTGAGCGGCCCTCAGCGCCAGGGGCCGGTGCAGCCCCAGCCAAGAGCGCCGCTCGCGCAGCCGTGTCACCCCTCACCCAAGGAAGGGGCGGCTGCTCAGACTTCGGCTTCTGGGGGTACAGGAGACCTACGGAGGAGGTGTCGGCAGCCCTCCCCCTTCTGGCGGCGGCGGCGGCGACTGGAGCCTTGGCCGCCGCCTCCTGCGTTCCCTCGCTGCCCCGCGCAACCCCAGGATTTCGAACTCTTGCCCCAGACCTGTTGGGCGGGGCTTCGCGCTCCTGCCCTCTGCCCGGATGGGTGTCCTGGCTGGGACTCGGGCCACCTGGAGTTAATGTCCACCTGGGGGTCTGCGGAGACCGGATCCGAGGTAAGTTGGGTGGGGGAAGTCTGGGTGGAGAGGGTGAATGCCGTCTGCGTCGCCAGCGGACACCGCTGGATGCAGAGTGTCTAGGACAAAAGGGCGCGTTTGGACCCCAGAGGGTGCAGTGAGAGTGGAAAGTAGACTAGAGGGAGGAGAGGCTCTGGGTGGACCGAGAAGAGAGAAGTTAAATGGTAGAGAGGCTGGCCTTGCGGAGGGGCAGGATGCCTTTTCCACGTGGGCAAAGATCTATGGAGCCCCTGATGCCCCTGGACCCCGAAATGCCTGGAAGGGGAAGTAAACCTCCCAACTTGCCAGGGTGCTCCTCTGACATGTCACGGAACCAAACCGGACTTGGGTCATCTTCGAACCCGCCGTCGCCAAAATGTCTTTTCCAGAAGTGCAGCTGCAGAGATATTACTGTTGCCCGGAATGTAACTTACGATTGAGCTTGTTTTGGTCTGTTCCTAGAGAAAGCTCAGGCCTCGGGAAAGACTGCTGCAAAGGTCCCGTAAACGTAAAAATAGAGGGCTCACCTCCTGAGGGGAGGTCTCCCAAAGCTACACTCCTCGCCTTTTTCAGGGCCCATTTGCTTGCACTTTCCTAATGCCCTCACTCGGCTGAGGTTAGGAGAGCGGCTCCTTGGACATTCCCGGCTTCAGGGCTCTATCTCGAGCAGACCCTGGGGCTCTTCAAGGTCTCCACTAGGCCACGAAGGTGATTATTTTAATGACCTTTTTTTCCTCCTGTGCTCTGTGCCTCCTTCCCGATAACACTACTTTGCACTACTTTTAACACTACTTTTCCCCCACTACTTTGCACCACCTGGGGTTTGACTCCGCAAAGGTTCGGTTTTCAGTCCCAACCAGTGAAAAGGAACCTTCGCCAGGGCTGGAATGGACTTTCACGGGTTCCCTCCAGGCTCCTGGCGCCTCGCTGATTTCCGCCCGTGGCAGAATCTGCCTGCAGAGCCTTTGCGCGCGCCCCGGGAGGGCTGTCCAGCCCGGAGCTCGCCACGTTTGTGCTCACTGGCGGGGGCAAACACACTCTCCTAGCCCCTGCTGTAGATATGTTCGAGTGCGATAGACTCTTCCCCCGCATTTTGAATACTTGAGTGTTTCAAGGAAAAGATGCAATTTCACCCCACGCGCGCGGACTACCTCCCACAAAGCTCTCAAAGTGGGATCCGCTGGGTTTCTTTCCTGCCCGGAGCAAGCCCCCACTGTTTCACGGCGCCTTCGTTTTGGCGGGGGAGGTGTCGTCTTTTAGACAAGTGCAGGAAGCCCACCGCGTCCTTTACCCCACTCCTGCAAGAGATTCGAGTGCTCTCGGAACCCTCACCCAGCTTGCTGGCTAAAAGAGCCCCACACTATTTTTCCTTCCCTTGTCTTGGGCCCGGCAGTTATGGGGGGTTAAGAGGAGAAGTCCTCCATGGGTTTAGGATACTAGACACAATGAAGAAAAGCTGTTGCTTTCAGTAATTTCTGTCACTAACCCCAAAAGAAAACCGCCGAGTTTGTAGCGAACCCCCTTTCCCGCTCCACCGCCTCCTTTTTCTTTTCCTGAGACCTGGATCTTGAAGGCAAAGCCCAAACAAACCTCCCAGCCTGCCAGCACAAGAAAGTGCGGGGGCACTGGCGGCGGGAGCGCTCACCCGCTGCAAAGCTGTCTCGGTGACGAGGCGAAGGGGCTGTCTAAAAGCAGGTTGCCAAGAAACCACCTGGGTGGAAGTGGGAAGACCGAAACTAGGGAGAGAGAATGGAGGGGTAGGAGACGGTGAAGCAGGGATGCCAGTAAGGACATCCACAGGTTCCCGGGCTGATTCGGTTTGGGAAGGTTTGTAGAGGGAGTGGTTGTTCGCCGATTTTTTACTTAAAATGACAACGCAGCCTCCCGGCCGCGTGGGCACTACGGGACTCGGGCGGTTTCTGGTGCCCCCTGGTGCCGGGAACTCAGAATCGACTAGCGGCCACTTGCATAGACACTCCTTCAGCATTCCTGGGCTTCCTCAAAGTCCCAGTCCAGGGAACTCACACAGTGCAGGCGTCCCTGGCGCGCCCTTTTTGCCCCACTGTCCGGGTGCATCAGTCCAGGACCCAGAGTTGGTCGAGCCTGGTAATCACAAGACAGTGTGGTGTGTCACCTGGCAGAGCCGACCTTGGCGTGGAGGTCAGGAGGCAGCCTGGTTCCCACACGTGGCAGAGTTAAGCTGGTCTCACGCATTGCAAAGGCCGATGATCGCGGAGGAAACACATGTGGCAGATGTAGATGTTCTGGAAGAGTGACAAAGAGACAAGAGGTGCCGCTGGGTGGGGCCCAAAGGGACTCTGAGAAGAACGTCCCGCCCTGTGCGCGGATTCCCCAGACCTCCCCGCCCCAATTCAGCCGCCCAGCAAATATGGGCTCCGACCGTAACTGGCCCCCGCGGCACTCAGAGAGAAAAACACACCAGGTCCTGTGAGAGGAGGAAGCTCTCTCCGGGCGCTTGCGGCACCCGCCCTAGGGCGGGAACTGGGAGCCTCCTCCAGCGAGGCGGAGAATATTCCGCTGTTTCTTTTGCTATCTTCGCCACACTTCTAACCCAGGATCTCCACATCCAATTTAAAAAGCCCTCCGCCAGCCAAGGGGGTGGGGGAGGAAAACCCTCTTAATGCGGAAGGGAAATCTGGTGCCTCTGAGGCTTCCTGCTGGCGGGCACCGCAATTTGGGATGGCGCATTAGCCCCGCGCCTCCCTGCACCTCTCGACCGCCAGCCATTTCTCACGCACCCGGGAGCTGGCAGAGGTTGGGAGATCTCCCAAAGCGCCTCTCTGAGCTCATTTTGCCTGGCCTGGTAGTTTTCCTGGGCCTGGGCTTTTACCGGGTTTGCCAGCCAGCCCACACAACAAGAAGTGCTGCAAGTCTGAGTTTTTAGTACCCCCCTCCCCCCCCTCTCCTGGAGCTCAACAGCTGCATGGAGAACAGACGCTCAAAGGATGGAAAATGCCTTCATCTCCGCAGCGGTGGGAGGTGGCGGCCGGAATTAAACTCTTCTCCGGGGGCCGGGGCTGGAGTTCTCGGGAGATTGGGACGCGGGCGGGTTCGGGAGCGGGGGTGTCCTGGAAGGGGCGGGCACACTAATACAAAGGAAGGATGATGAAGTTTTTTGCATTCACCTGTAAGATGTCTCTCCCATGAAAATAATTCAAGGAAGTTTTCCGAAGAATTCGTTTTATTGAGGAATGCACGGATAGGGAATGATCTACTGCACGAACCTCATAGTTTAAGAATTCTCTGCACTCAGTGGTCCCCTGGAGAGAACACCGGGATTAGGAAGGGAAGGGTAACACCTTACACTGAGTTGACTCGTCTCTCCGCACTTCTCTTTGGTTGGGCCTCAGCCCCGAGTTTACAATGCGTTTTTCTCACTGACCCTGGACCCTGTGGACCTCCTTTCTGGGAATATGAGGCCTGAAGAGTCAAAAGGAGTTCATTCGCTAGGAACGGACGCCCACCCCCATGCGATCTCATATTCTGGGCCTTCTGGTGCTGTCGCGTGGCCCAGAGAGCTAGCGACTCCTCTCCGATGGGTAGAGATTCTGGCCAGAATCTCGAAAAGCTGCAATAATAAAATAAGCAGTTTTCGCTTATACTACGGAGGATTTAAGGCAAATTCCTCTAAAACGTTTATTGAGCGCTTACTTTGTGCTCCGCAGAACCTTTTCACGTGTTATTTAATGTTCATAACCTTAAAAGGTGGAACGGGTATTTTAAGCCTAGTTGATTCTTTGGAAGTTAGGTAATTTAACCCAGATATTTTCATACAGGCCAAAAGTCTCCAAGTGCCTACTAACTTGTTCCTGCGACAATACATTTATTTAGGTAAATGGGCAGCGGGCGGGGTGAGCGCTTGCATCCAGCCAGCTCCCAATTACCTTAGAGGATGGTCACAAGCGCCCCCCACCCCCGCCGTGGAGGCAGATGGGGGGAGCTTGATTTTATTCCCAAAGGGAAAGGGTTGTTGCTTGCTTAGTTTAAGGGCTGGCTTCCAGTGAGAGCTGCCAGGCCAGGAGGAAAGGGCTCGAAGACTGAGGCCAAGGACACAGCGTGGGAGTTACCTAATTGCCCTCAGAGAATGGGGGCGGGGGGCTCCTATCCGCGCCCGCAGATAGCACAGGCCGGAAATCCCGTCTCTCTGTTTGGAGGTTTACGGGCGGGGACAGCGGCCCTGCTTGGAAAATCTGACCCCTGAAACCCGATGGCGGAGGAGAGGATCAGCTGTGTCCTGGACCCCGAGTGCAGCTGCACCCGGGACACATCTGGGAGAGGGACCCAGAGCGGCACTTGTAATGAGGACCCGGGACGCCCAGGGAAACGCACGCGTTCGGCGGTGCCGGAGGAGGGCGGTGACAAGTTTGGAGCGGGGCGCAAGGACAGGCGGGGATGCAGCGCCCGAGTAGCGCTGGGCCCTTGGCGCCCTAGCCTAACTTGCATTCTGTGGTTCTCTCCCGGCTGCCCGCCCACCCGCACAGGTGCAGCTGCCGGACGGGACTCTAAGATGAAGTTATGGGATGTCGTGGCTGTCTGCCTGGTGCTGCTCCACACCGCGTCCGCCTTCCCGCTGCCCGCCGGTAAGAGGCCTCCCGAGGCGCCCGCCGAAGACCGCTCCCTCGGCCGCCGCCGCGCGCCCTTCGCGCTGAGCAGTGACTGTAAGAACCGTTCCCTCCCCGCGGGGGGACCGCTAGCCGACCCCCTGGCACCCCTTCCTGCCGCACGCACGCACCCCAAGCCAACCACAGAGGCTATGTGACTCTTGACCCGTGAGCAAAGCCTGATGGGGTGCGTAGCTGTCTGCTGCTGCCCGTAAATTACACAATAATTACCCTCAGCACAGAGGGTATCCAGTGTTGTGTCTTCATCATTCTGATGAACAGATGAATATTTGTCCACCACCACCCCACCACCACCACGGAACGCACACAAATTGTCTCCTCTCTTCTCCTCTCCTCTCTTCTCTTCTCCTCTCCTCCCCTATGTGTACACACCCCCATTGATTTTTTTCCCATTCCGTAGCCCTTTTATCTGTGCCTGGCTGTCCTTAATCCTAAACTGCACCGGCAAAGGAGAGTTCAGGTTTTCACAAGACCAAGCCAGAGACAGAGAAAATACAGAGGAGACTGGATTTACAGAGCAAGCATCTGGGTAGTGTCAAAATCTGTTCAGAAAAGTTCCCGTTCTAAAAAGACAAGGGTAAATAGTGCAGGCTGGAACTAGGAGGGGAAACTGGAGTTCACACCACATATGCAGTGCTAGTTCTATAAGAAGAAAACAGGTCATTCTTACTAGAAAGTCAAGGATTTACCTCTCAAAAATTAACGTTCTAGAGGCAAGTCAATTAGCACGTGTCAACTGTGATTTGATATCATTTACCTTCCACTCTTCAGCAATTTATCTGTTGCATAAAATGAGGTATGCTAGATTACAAGCTATAGACATTGTTGGGGATGTGTGTAGATAGGAAGGTTGGCAATGGAAATTTTAACACAACTCCAAAATAAAGCAATAGTGAGTGTATGTAGCCAGGAGGTCACGATAGCTACTCCTCTTGCCCCTCAGAATTATCATTCTAGTTATTTTGTACCTGAAATATACTGTGGTCATACCCACACAACTGGTGGCCTTGGGCTAGGAAAAAACTCTCATGTGACATGCTTTTTTTTTTAATGCCTAATTACAGCCACAAAAACATCTTCTTGCACAAGTTCCAAGAAAGACTAAAAAAAGTGCATTTATTAAAAGTCAAATTAGGACTTCCAGAAGTGACTTAGGATTAGAGGAAGTGGCTGATTCCTTGAAATTCAAGTACCTATTTTGTGTTTCTGTCAGTTATATGCATAAACTTATCTCAGAATGCTTTCATTTCAATCACAAATTTAGTGTCTCCAATAAAAAGTAAATATAAAATGCCCTTCCTGCCATTGTCTTCAGAGCAGGAGACAATGAGAGCTGCAGATTAAACCCAGGGCCTCACACAGTGAAAGCAAGTGCTTTACCACAAAACTACATCCCCAACCCTACCTAGCATATTAAATTCTGGCTCCTGGTTCTGGCTGTGCTTTCAACTAACTCCATGATTTGGCATCTGATGAAGAGTTTACCACTGTACAATAGAGGGAAGGCTTTCCACTCCAAAATGCCAGTAGCTATGAGATTTGCCCCTAGTCTCCATGCTCCTGTCCTAATAGTCCTTTGGTAAGAGGCTGATTAAAAAAAAAAAAAAAAAAAAAAAAAAAAGATAGCAATCACATGGCGAACTAAAGACTATGCTAGACCTCACCTCAAGAGATTCTGACTTAATTGTTTTAGGGTGTGACAGGCATCTGGACTTTTTGATGTTCCCCAGGTGGGTCTAATGCACAGACAGGGTTTAGTCACTATAGCATGACAATACCCTAAGACAATCTGGGGCTCATATTAAGCACAACCAGCCACAGAGCAAGCAAATGAGCATTACTCCTACCAATCCTAGGCAGGAGAGCACGATGTGTGACTGAGGATTACTTCCTGTTTCCCAAACCAATGCTAAATCATCAATGGACAAGATTCTGACCTCTGTGTTCATATTCAAACCAGCAGAACACACCCATTTCTGTTTTCTGTATGAAACATCCAGAATTCTGTTTTTTCATAGTATAAACTAACCAAATAGAATTCATAACTGACTAACTTGCTTGCCCAAGTAAATGGTCCATGGCTGCCTCCTGTAGCAACTTCTAACTTGTATAAACTCAAGGACTTGTGATTTGCCTTTTGGGGATCCAGGACTTTTCTCTTTAGCTACCTTGTTCATTTGGTTTCCTTTCTGCCGGTATCATCACCAAAGGGAGATTAGAGCAGGAGTAAGGAATCTATAAGGCAACACTCACAAATGTCATAGCATGTAAAAGTATTGGAGCTGTTTCTGGTTCTGAGACCTAAAACAGTAAAGCAACTTGGCCACGGTGCCAGAGGTCCATGATGGCATGAGGCAGGACTGCTGAAGCTGGGGTCAGAGTTCCCCCCAAACCTTTGAAATGCACTTTATGAAAGGAGGGTTTTAGATGACTGAATCCTGAGTTTCTTAACATTATTTCATTGTATTTTTATTACATATCTCAATTCTAGATCTGTTTTACAACTGAAAGCTTAAAGTACATGTGGTTTTAAAACTTTGCAATCTAAACACACGAATTCATTTAGCAAATAGTTCCTGTGTGCCTGTGTGTGCCAAGTACTCTCTAGGTGCAAGGGGTACTTTGGAACACCTAGACACAAGTCCCTGCCCTTGTGGAACACACTTTCCAGTAAATGTACATGTGTGGGTCACACGAAACAAACATAAAGAAAGCTTGGGCTGGTTGAGTGAGCTTACTTTTTTATGCAACTGGAAACCAGCCAGAAGAGACATTGAGCATTACTTTGTTAAATTCTAATTACTGGCAATTCCTTGTAACACAATGGAATTGCATACCACCAATTTCATAGCAGGTCATGAAATCTCCTATAGAAACAGTCTTTTGAGTCAAGCTGTCAAGTTCTCACACTTGTAAACCATGATGCAAGTGAGCTATAATTCACAAGGTTACCAGCTGAAATCTCTGTCCTGGGTGACATCTCCCATAAACTACAGGAGATCACAGAGGGTTCGAAGAAAGAACACAAGTTAGCACATTCAACTCAGACTGAAGTTTGTATCCCAGCCTTGCTACTTAACCAGACTTAACATCTCTTAAACCTTGATCTCTTCATCTGTAAAGTTGGGCTAATATTAAACTTGCCTGGGTGTTAAATGGAGCTATTGCTTTGGAATGCTTGTGCTCCGTATCATAGTTGTTGTTTGCCACACTCCTGCTTCCAGTGGCCCCTCCCCAGGTACCTAATGAACTCTTTCTGTTACCACTTCTGCCAGGACATCACTCTAAAAGATGAAATTCCACGCAGTCCAACATAGTACAGACTATTTGGGGACTACTTCAGGTCCCTTAGTTGGTTGGTTTGTAGGTTGGTTGGCCAGCACATGGACAGGTCAGCCTTTCCTGAGATTCTGCCCTTGGGTCAGCTGTCCTTGGCCCTTCCCAGGTTTCACAGCTCCATCCCTTTCCCAGTTGCAGAGCGCATCTACTTCCCCCCAGACTCCCGTGCTCATGTGAGAGAGACCCTCCTGTCCCAAGGCCAGGCAGGGTAAGAGCCTCCTATGTAAGTGATAGGCAGGCTGTGAGTTGGAGGCTACCTATATTGAAAGGGAACATTTCAGATTTTTGGTTTTTGCTTTTTTGATACAAGGGATTGAACTCAGGGGCACTCAGCCACTGAGCCACATCCCCAGCCCTATTTTGTATTTTATTTACAGATAAGGTCTCACTGAGTTTCTTAGCACCTTGCTTTTGCTGAGGTTGGCTTTGAACTCACAATCCTCCTGCCTCAGCCTCCCGAGCTGCTGGGATTACAGGTGTGTTCCACCACACCCAGCAGCATTTCAGTTTTAATTGATCCCAACTGGACATGGAATTTAAAATGTTTCCTAAACCAAGGGAGAGGAAGAACTTCTAGTAAATGATCAGCCCACCACATAGCTGAGGAAGCTTCTGGTGCTGGATATGTCTTAATCTTTCAAATTCAATGTTGTAAGATGCCGAATTCTGAATACATAAACACCACTCATTGTTGCTTCCCATTGCTTTGGGACTGTGTGGGGGAACAAATGCTCTACTAATTACATAAGCTGGAAAGGGGCTCTGCCGCTTGGAAAGGGTCGCTAGAAAGAAACTGCACACCAGACTCTTAGGAGGCACTGATCCCTTATTGAGATCTGAGACCAGCACCTCCCTCTGGCCCCAGTTTGGAGACCTATTTTCAAATCATTGCTATTTAGAGAAATGCACTGAAGGCTCATTTTGAATTGGCCAGGCTTGGGACATTATGCTAGCCCAACAGCCTAAGCAAGATGCTCCAATGAGTCTGCTTTAGTTGACAAAAATGAAAGGTATCTGATCTTTTTCCCTCCTAATATTCTTCTGCTCTTATTTTAATTTAGCCCCCACAGCCTTCACTTGATGAAAATACTTATTCTTTAATTAATCACTTGAGCCCAATCAAGAAGCAATTATTAATACCTTTCATGTGCTGGGGGCTGGGCAGCATCAAAAAGGCAACATGGTGAACTCGAATAGCTCGTGATTGAGTTGTAAACTATAGATAGGCAGATGGGTGGACACTGTCAGTCAGACAGACAGATGTGTCTATCCTGAGGGGTTTACGATAGCCGAAGTCAAGAATTCCTAGGAATGAGATCACTGGGATTTGAAATCAAAAGCAGGAAAGAATGCATGGAAATTTGAAATCAAAAGCAGGGAAAATTTGAACAGGTACTTGAAAGATGGATATTGAGAGGAGAAAGGACAAGGGGACATTCCAGACTAAGGAGCAGAATGGGGAAATTTGTGACCATGATATGGGGAAGGTGTAGGTGTCAGCTACAAGGACCAGTGTCCAGGTACTGGGAGAGGTACTGAAAAGTTGTGGGAACTGTTAGGTATCTTGACAGGTGATTATATGGTGCTGTAAAATTCAGGAAAAGAAAGGGTTTGCTCTCTTTTCTCTGGCAGTGGAGAAAGAACCTCTGAGCAGAGATGTCTTGCAGTAAATGTTAAGTGGGGTATATCACACAGGC